AACATACTGACAATAAGTCCTCCTGAGATCCTGATAGTGTGTGAACCTACATTATGTACAAGCTCAGTTTCATTTGGTAGCTTGAGGTGTGTCCATACGGCAACTTTCCTGCCTGTTACCTGGCTAACATGATGCCAAACCAGAAATTCAGAGAGCTTGAATAATGAAAAGGGCTGAATTGGGATACCTGACAACCCGTATGACAACTGATCTTCTGCATCATGGTATATGATGTAGTTGCTGTTAGGATATTTCCGTTCCACCTTAAAGGGAGCAGGCTTTGTGAGTCACAGAGTCTGCGCATTTCCTGTTCACAGGAAGTTTATGTTTTCTATTGCTTTCGTTTCTCTCTCTGTGTCTGGAGACACTGAAGCAGGCAGTCATGTTTTTCTTTGTTCTGATCAACGCTGAATAAAACTTGTAAATAATGCTCTCCTGCGTGCAACTTCTGCTGTGAATTATCTGCTGATAGAGCGTGCATTGAGTTCTGGAATGTGGCAAGCTATTTCTGGAGCTCATGTCGCTAATTGCTGATACTGTGTGCCTACGGGAGATTGACGGACGTCCGGACATGGCTTGGGGGCCATGATGGACTTTGTCTCCCTGGCAGTATCCCAACAGTTGCTACATTGCATTAGTATTTGTGTGAGATGGTTTTCCCCATTGGAAGCGATACCCTTGAAAAAGACTAATGCAAAAAGTGAATGGGCAACCTATAAAGGTTGGAAGTAGAGCATGGAAGTACAGTAGAACAACAATTGAAATTGAAAAGTTTTGAGGACAAAAAGACAGTTAGTAACAGACTGGTTGCAATACCATCAATTAAATGATGTGTTTAAAACAGATAAGAAAAATGGATTTAGTAAGGAAATTTCAAGGTTTGGAAAACAATATGAAGTTACTTTCAAAAATAGAGAAAATAAGGGAAGCAATTGAAAAAAGATTGATAATGGTAACCATGTAAGGGCGGAGGGGAGTTGAAAGATTCAGGGAATCCTAAATGATGATGTTTAATGTTTGAATTTAAATTAGCAATGTAAAACTCAGTAAAAAATATTTGCCAAAAAATTAGTATTTGTGTGAGATTGCACTGCATCATGGCATTTGTAGTGTTTGATGCAAACACTGATTTACTGGGAATTGCTTTTACTCCTCTGGGCTCAGGAGCTTTCTTCAGCTTGGTCATTTGGCTGACCTCAGGACTGGGCACAGATCCTTCAAGCTCATAGCCAGAAGGAGAGATACTTCCAACATTCTCTGAAAATTTCCTCCTGAAATTTGGAGTTCTGCATTACCCGGTCCTGAAGTGGAACCACCGATGCATTAGAAATTCTCTATTGTACCACTTTTTAGAACTGAATTTTGCAGAGCACCATTGCATGTGGTGTTCCCCACAAATGTCAGTTTCTTCTTTCACGTCTCCTTCCATCTGTATTATGATGCACTGCTAAAAACCTGCTAAAAACACAATCTTAATAAGACTGCATCTATAACTGCATCTTACTTTCCCATCTGGGGGAACCTACACACAGAGACACAAGTTATCGGTTCTAGCTCTGGAAGTTCCTGGCATGTAAATGCTTAAGAGTATGATGTGCAAAGTGGTAACCCCATGTGTCATGTGCATGTAGTCGTCAAGGAGCCATAACTGACTCCATCTGCATTTGAGAGCACACCTACTGACAAATCCATGTTTGCCTCTGTGTGATACGCAAAATGGCTCTCAGCAGTGGTAATGAGTTATAAGTAGTGATGGACGGATCTGTCAACTTCACTTTCTATTGAGTTCAGTTTGCCCCATTTCTGGATCAGTTTGCATTTTTCGGATAAAAAAACTCTGCATGAAAATTTGTACACACATCCAGGCTTCCTGTTTCTTCTAATATATAGTTCTTCCACACAGTTTCCCTGAATAGTTGCATCCCCCCCCCCAAGCAATTGCCCCTACTGTGATGCATTTTTAAAATGTTATTTTCACCAAAATGTGTGTTTCCCACCAATAAACATGGTTTTGGACCCATGTTTTGGACCGATAGCTGTCTTGCAAAATTCAGAGAGGTCATGACTTTTGAAGTCTTGCTGTGCATTGTTTCAAGAAGTGTGAATTATGTGAACCAGAATAGGAACTAGGGAGGGGAATCCCCCCTCCCCAATCTCTACCTTGACCTCCTATGCTCAGGCTGAAGAAGCATCTGCAGGTATAAAGGGATTTCTCTTGTGTCATTTGGCTAGTTCTATCCCATTTTATTTTGGATGAAACAGAGGAGGCTTAAAGGGAGATAGCTCTTTTGTTATTAAAATTATGGAAGCAGGAAGTGACGATAATCATTTTCTTATGTTTGGGGAATAGAGGGAAAGGGTGACTGAACTTCTGTGGGATGCAAATTTTTAAGGCAGCCCCCGCCGACAAAGTAAGAAACATGATGAGAGATATACATAAATATTTGAACACTCTCCTCATTCTCGGATCCAAATCCAGAGAGGCAAAGTTGAATATCTTCTAGGGTTGATGCAATAATTCATAATTAATTTCCTATGCATTGGGTTTAATCGGCAGGTTTAAACAAAGGCTGTCAGTTTCCCTGATGGCCATCAGATTATCATCAATGGACCCCAATATTCTAGATTCCAATAAACTCTGATCCTCAGCTATGGAATGTTTCTCTTTTGGGTTGCAGTAACAGCAGCAAAGACTCCAATACCGACTGCCTGAGCAGTTTGGTGATGGCAAGGATTGTTCATAAATATTCCAGCTGCTCAGAGAACAAAGCTGTCTGGCTGCCTACAAGCCAGCTTCTCCGAAGGAAGCGAATGTTCTCAATTCATCTGGGACTGAAACCTCATGCAGACCAGAAGATTGTGAGGCAGGTTAAAGCAGTTGCAACAGGAAGATAAGGGCATGTTGCCTGGCAGAGGGAAGGTTGAGGGAATAGGTGGAGAAGTGAGGGAATGAGCAGTTAGTGAGAGAGGAATGCTAAAGAGACATCACAATGCCTATTGACGAAACTGGTTATTTCATTAAATATACAGTGGTACCTTGGTTCTCGAACTTAATCTGTTCCGGGAGTCCGTTCGACTCCCGAAGCCATTCAAAAACCAAGGTGCGGCTTCTGATTGGCTGCAGGAACATCTTGCACTCAATCAGAAGCTGTGGAAGCCGCGTTGTACGGCTAGCTTCCGAAAAACGTTCGCAAACCGGAACACTTACTTCTGGGTTTGCGGCATTCGGGAGCTGATTTGTTCAACAACTAAACCGTTCGAGAACCAAGGTACCACTGTATCCTTGAATACTATGCTCAGGATTTTCTTATCTCTTAAAAAACAAAACATAGCATAACAGCAGCCACTGATTACCCAATTCAGACTGCTTTGAGGTCCGGCCCCCCACTATCAAGTGGTATGTAGATTTTATGAACTAAATAAAAGAAATAAGGGTTGGGGTTTTCTTCTCTTTTTAAAGTTTTGAACTGGCCCTGGTCAAAGACCATCTAACAATTTTGGGGAAAGGGATGTGAATCAAGGGTTTGCCACCTCACACTCTTAAACATTATACATCACTGGCATCTCCCTGGCCTTCTGAGTGAAGATCCATTCTAAAAGGTCTAAAGTTTAGCTCAAAGTAGATGGAGTAAGTACGAATGAATAAATTATTATTAACTGCCTTGGAGCAAACTATTAAAAAACACCCTTCAAGGTGCACTGAACATGAGTTTCCCCCCTCTTTGCTGCAGAATGCGAAGATATTAGCTATTGAATCGCGGCAGAAATCCTCCTTTGTGTTTGATAATGATCCTGGCAAGTAGCTGATGTTCATCTCCCTGCATCATTTCTTGCATTATACAAGTACATAATTTCCTAAGGAGCAAATTATGTGGGCATGAATCATCCCATGTTTAAAATAAATAACTTTATGCTTTGTGCTACACTTATTGTACAGATTGTTCAGCAATGCTTTTAACGTACCTGGAAAAGTGAGGGAAATGGAGATCAAGATTAAGGCTGCAATTGGAACGTCTCATTTTCCAATATTCATATATATTCATATATATATATATATATATGCGCCTAGTATGACCTGTGAGGAAATTTGAATCCCGTATATGCATTATCTCAACTTCTCGTTTCCATACTTAAATCATGAGGGGGATTTTCTTCTTCTGGAAAATGTCTTGCATTTATTTTTATTAACGGTTCTGTTTCTTCCTCTGAGCATCCTTAACCTTGAGTTAATTAAGTTTTTGGCTGGGAATTTCCTTCATATTTTAATAAGACACATAAATTACATTAAGAGTATAAATTAGGTTCCTGAAGGTCTCAAGGCCCACAGGGACTCAGCAATTGTTGGACGGCAAAACATAGAAAGCCTTTCACAACAGATCAGGCCTCTCCTTGAGTTTTAACTAATTTCCTAATCTTATTCCAAGACACAATTATAACTTGGGCCTCTTATCTCTGGTGCCTGTTTTGCTAGGTGGGGTCTGCAAGGCACAGGAGTAGAATTCAGGCCTCTTATGCCAAATGGATGCCAAATGTACAGAACTTGTATTTCTGTATCTGCAGTAGAACTATTCAGATAAGACGTTCACACAATCTGTACTTAAATGATACCCAAGAATTCATGAGTTGCGGTATTGGCAGCTTAGACCTCATTCTCACAGCAGAATGTCTCAGAAGCCTCCAAGTGACTGTCATAGCTACCAGTTCTGACAGCTGCTACAGGCCCTTCTTATAGCTCTCCCCATCATCAGCATCACAGATACCCATCTACCCACTCACCCAATCCCCTTTGAACCCAGTGGGACATGTGTAGGGCTATAAAATGAACAGCTCTAGAAAGAGGGTTTACATACATAGAGGAAATGTGCAATAGTTATTTCTAAGGCAGCAAAGGTAAACAAAAAACACGGCCTGATCACTGGTCACAGAATTATAGAATCATAGACATGGAAGGTACTACAAAAGGTAATCTAGTTCAACCCCCTGCAATGTAGGATTCTTTGTACCCAACGTGGGGCTCAAACCCACAACCCTGAGATTAAGAGTCTCATCATCTACCCACTGAGCTATTTAGCTTCCTACTCGCAAGTTATCATGATGGAGAACTCTATTCATGGTGAAAACAGGGTTCTGCTCTGCTCCTGAAACATCTTGGGGATGAATTCAAGCAAATGGCTGAACTTTGCTTCCATGTCTGTTACTAGGCTCTGTTGGAACAAAATATTCCAGAAAATGCTGAGGTGCATTACTGGCCCCCATGAGAGAAGCAATTGCTCTCCACTTCTCCTAAAAACCTGAGAACAGAAGCATGTGTTAATAAGGCTGGTTGAACAGGAGGTTTCATTTGCCTCATTGAGCTGCTCCCTTGAACATCAAAACCCTTTTAGGGGACAGTGAGGTACAGTTAACTTCCTCCCTCACAACCCCAGGCAGAAGCACGTCCCACAAATGTCAAGATGCTGACTCTGTCTGCTTTTGCTTTCAAAAACAAGCGCTCCTGCCTCTGTGGTATGCGTTAGGTTGTGGCCCATGCTGTGGTGTGCACATGAGAAGAGAATTGGGGGACAGAGACCTTCTTGAGGTGGGCTGGACTTTTCAAGCCAATTCTCCTTGCAGAAAGCATGCAGGGACATTTGGGCATTTATAACACCTGAATGCATTATAAATGCCATGCTAAGACCACTGCAACCTTAATGTGCAACCTTCTGACAGCTGACACAGAAAAAGTGGTAGCCCTGGTGGGAGATCACCCCTGTGACATGTGCTTGAACAATATGATGGTTGCAACAACATGATGATGTTGTGGACGGCATGCCAGCTCATGGAGGTAGGCGAATCTGTCTGTTTTGGTTTCTTCCCATTCCTCATTTATCCAGCCTTAAATTCAGTCTCAAAAGGAGGTCCAGTTGTATCCAAAGATAGACAAGCACCTGCTTCTTGATCTCAGCAACCACCATGCAAAATTTGTCTAGCATTTGTGACGAGGCCCCCACATGCACAGAGGACTGGTGAAAACATGAACAATTTTTGAAAATATACAGTATTTTTAAAAATGTCACACACACACACACACACACACACACACACACACATTTTATCCATGTGTATGCATTTTTTGTCCACTTTACTTGGCTTGAAAACTGCATTGGCAAAATACAGAGAAGCGTGTTTCGGTTCTCATATCATTTTGAACTTGGGAGGGTCCTCTTCCGATGTGAACTGAGTCACGTTCCTCCCCTCCCCATCCCTACATGGAGGCCATTCCCAGTGACCCGCGCATGATGTTCTGAACGTGAGGTTTGTCGCCGAGGGCTGTTCCAATGGAACAATGCTGAGCGAGGCTGGATGCTGGATGAGCTTGTGGGTCTGGGAGTGATTCCAGGAGCCTCGGGAAGCAAGAGCACGCATCTAACGCGGACAGCGGGACTGATCAGTCCACAGAAACTCAACTGAAGAAAAAGAAGCTGAGCTGCATCTGTTCATCTTTCCCCCCGCTCTAAATCAAAATTTGCTTTTTTATGGCTCTCTGGAAACCTTGGGGGCCACAGGGCAAAAAAGAACAGAGTGTCGTATTCCAAGTAGATCCTTCAACACAGATGTAGGGAAATGATCTCTGGGCTGCTTACCAACTCTTTCCCAAAGTGGCGGGGTGTTCAGAGCAGCTTTTTGAAGGATCCGTTCCCTTTCCTAGGAGACCTGAGCACCAGAGCCTTAGGGGCAAAACACACATTACGTGTCGGCCACAAGAAACAAAGCCCTGACAGCCTCTTTGAGTACCCTCAGGAGGGTGCCCTATGCCTGAGAGAGGAGGCAGAGGAAGGGAATGATTAACACTTCTCCATATTATCCCTCTTTCAGCTGCTTTTGCCTTGCCAGTGTTTTGGACCTCACAGGAACTGTGAAGGGATAAATGTAGCTGTGTGCGTGAGAGGTGGTTTGGACATGTTTGGGGGAAGATATGGGCTGGCAGAAGGGACGCGGGTGGCGCTGTGGGTAAAACCTCAGCGCCTAGGACTTGCCGATTGTATGGTCGGCAGTTCGAATCCCCGCGGCGGGGTGAGCTCCCGCCGTTCGGTCCCAGCTCCTGCCCACCTAGCAGTTCGAAAGTGCATCCCTAAGTGCAAGTAGATAAATAGGTACCGCTTTATAGCAGGAAGGTAAACGGTGTTTCCGTGTGCTGCGCTGGTGCCGGCTCGCCAGAGCAGCTTCATCACGCTGGTCACGTGACCTGGAAGTGTCTCCGGACAGCGCTGGCCCCCGGCCTCTTAAGTGAGATGGGCGCGCAACCCCAGAGTCGGTCACGACTGGCCCGTACGGGCAGGGGTACCTTTACCTTTACTTTATGGGCTGGCAGAAGAAGGGAGGAACCCTCTCCCCAACCCTGCAGCCCATCTCTTTGAAATACAAGAGGGCCTGTGGCTGCAGTATTATAGGGTGTTAGGGGAGAGGTAGGGCACAAGGAGAAGGGGACAATAGAGGACGAGATGGTTGGACGGTGTTCTCGAAGCTACCAGCATGAGTTTGACCAAACTGCAGGAGGCAGTGGAAGACAGGAGTGCCTGGCGTGCTCTGGTCCACAGGGTCACGAAGAGTCGGACACCACTAAATGACTAAACAACAACAAAGTATCTCGGGGGGGCACACAGGCCAAGCTCCTTCTGGGGTAGTTTGTTTACCTTTGGTCCTCACCCTGCGTTCAACTCTCACCTGTGGTTCCTTGAAGCTGTCAGCATGCCACAGTAGCCACCCCCCGGGAAATGGCTTTGACTGGCCAGCTAAGCCAGGTGAGGGTAGCCAACGGGTCTCAAACCCTCAGTGAGTTAGGTGGTGGGCAGGACCAACTGACCAATTGCAGCCCTTGGCACTGCACCCAGGGGAAATTTAAACGCCCGGCCTGCGGGGTCTTTCGGCCTCTCTCTCACCACACCGGTTCTCCCACCCTCCCTCCTTCAGGAGGCATTTTATGGGTGCAGCAACGCTAGTTCCAAAACATGACTCCCAGCATCTCCTGGGAGAAAACCCTGCCTGAAACCCCAGAGAAGTGCTGCCAGTCAGTGTTGACAATACTGAACTGGATGGACCCAACAGCCTGATTCAGTATAAGGCAGCTTCCTTCAGGTCACCAAAATCTAACAAGTTCTGAGCACACAGAAATTGCTTTCGGTGGAGGTTCACTTCTTCCTTCTATGGTCAACCACCCGACCACTGTAATCCATATCCTGGCAACCTTGAGGCTGGATTACTGCAATGCTCTCTCCATGGGGCTGCTCTTGGGCCTGGTCTGGGAACTTCAGTTGGCGCAGAATGCAGTGGTTCATCTGCTGATGAGGGCATGTAGCTGACAACTTGTGACACCATGGTTAAGGCATCTGCCCCAGCTGCCCAGCTCCTGCTGAGCCAGGTTCATGGTTTCTGTATACAGTCTTCAACTTCCTGAACAACTTCCATCCAGGGTCCTTTAGGGACCACCTGATCACTGAGGTCTTCTGTAGGAGCATCTTCGGTTGCCCCCTGAGGCTCATCTGACGTCAACGCAAAACGGAGCAGCCAGTGTTATTGGCCCAGCCTTGCGGAACATTCTTCTGATAGATATTCAGCAAACATCTTCAGTATTAATTTTTAAATGTTTGCTGAAAACTTTTCTGTGCCGCCAGGCTTATGCAGACAATTAAAGGAGGGGAGGAACGTGGGGAAGAAATTCTGTTACAGTTTGCTGGTGATCTATGATTTTGGTTCCTGTGTGCTTATTAGTGTGTACATATTTGTTGAGCACCGCTTTGATATTTTGCATGAAATTGCAGCGCATAAGCATTTTTAGAAATAAAAGAAGTGAGTAAAGCACACACACTTCCAGACTCCAGCCTTACTTCTGGAGAAAGAAAAGCTGTGGGTTCTAATCCAAGAAAGCTGTCGCTACAATAACATGACTAGGAAGGTAGGGGTTTAAAAAATCAAAAATCTGAGAAGTTCTAAGGAGTGGCAAATGGAGCACTGTCCCACCAATCTCAGCTCACTCTCAGCTGATCCCCACCTGCCTTCTTAGTTTCAGCCTGTGGCCCTGATGTCAGCTTCCTCCCTTTCAGTGTCAGTGTTGCTCCTTGTAGGACTTCATAGATGAGCCTTGGGGTGCCTTCCAACCCTACAATTCTATGATTCTACGAATAATATTCAATTATATTCCAGAAACGTGGGAGATTTCAAGGGGTAAAAAATAATAATCGATGTACCGTGTTATATTAGAAGCAAAAAAACTTGTTTTGATGAATTGGAAGAGCGGCAAAAAGATTCAATTGAGCACATGGATTGATAATACGGACAGATTAGCTACATACGAACAAATTGCATGTCAACGCAAAATAAGAATGGATAAATATGAAGAAATCTGGAACGAATATTTAAGCGATAAGGCGGATAGTTGTGGGAAGTAGGGAGAGGAGAGAGAGGTGGGAAAATATTGTTTAAAAAGGTGTAGTCATAGATATATCAGGGTATTCAAATCTGAATTGTCAAATTGTGTTATTATTGTTATTATGGTTTTTGTTGTACAGTCATACCTCATGTTATGTTTGCTTCAGGTTGCGCATTTTCAGGTTGCATCCTGCGGTGACCCGGAAGTACCGGAAAGGATTACATCTGGGTTTTGCCACTCGTGCATGCGCAGATGCGCAAAAGGATGTCATGTGCAGAAGCGGCGAATTGCGACCCGCGCACGTGCAGATGCGGGTTGCGTTCTTTTCAGGTTGCGAATGGGCCTCCGGAACAGATCCCATTCACAACCAGAGGTACCACTGTATGTGTCTTTTGCGGTTCTTGTTTGTATCAAAAAAATGATTAAATAAATTTATAATAATAATAATAACAATAGCCAGATGGATCAGGCCAATGGCCCATCTAGTCCAGCATCCTGTTCTCACAGCGGCCAAGCTATGGGGAACCGGCAAGCAGGACCCGACCACAAGAGCCCCCTCCCGGAAAAGCAGCTGGTTTTCAGAAGCATACCTGCCTCCGAACCTCAGGGCAGAGCCTAGCCATCATGGCTAGTAGGAAGTGTTCTTGCTAAATAGGAACAATTAGAG